AGTGAATTCTTTAGGTTGAAATAAAGAGACATAAATATATCAAATGAACATATTGTACGCCTTAAATTTATACAATGTTATATGTCAACTACATCTCAGTAAAAAACCCACAAAGAATATATTTGTAAAACCTACAGCTCCTACTAAGGAAATAACTTAAGAATATAGCTAAGACATAATGGAGAAATTAAAATAGAACACTAAAATAATATATGTTTAATACAAAATATGTCAGATAAGGTGGAAGAGAAACAAAAACATAAGCATAGAATAAATAGCAAAATGGCAGACCTAAATACAATTATCCTAATAATGACATTCATGTGAATTAAATAAATATTCCAATCAAAAGATAGAAATTTTCTCCCAAATGAAAAGGTAAGATCCATCTATATGCTCTATGTAACAGACACACGTTAGACTCAAAGGCACAAATAGGTGTAAGTAAAAGGATAACAAAAGAGCTACCCTACAAAGAGTCACCCCATAAGTAAGCAGAAATGGCTATTCTAATATCAAAGTAGCTGTTAAAACAAGAAATATTATTAGAAATTAAAAAAAAACATTTCAACATGTTAAGGCTGTCAATATAAGAGGAAAATAAAGCAATTATAAACATATATTATTCACCTAACAACAGAACCCTCAAACACATGAAATAGAAACTGACAGATTTGGGAGGATAAATAAACAATTCAGTGAATATAGTTGGATATTTAAAAGCTCTTCCATCAGTAAGTGAGAGAATAGCTAGTCACAAAATCAGGAGGCCTATGGAAGACTGTCAAAACACCAAGAACCAGCTTGACATAACTGACATATATAGAAAGTATTCTTGTAGGACATAAATAGGGATCAAACATTAAAAGGATGGAAATTTTCAAAGTATATTCTCTGAAGACAAAGGAATAAACTTAAAGCAACAACAGAAAGAAATTTGGGGGATTTCCAAACATGTGGAAAGTGACACACTACTGAAGAATTTACAGTTCAAAGATGAAATCTGTGAAAATACCTTGTACTGGATGATACTAAACAGAATATATCAAAACTCTTAGGGTGGAACTAAAGTGGTGTTTAGAGACAATTCGTAGTTTTGTCACTTATACTCAAAAGGAAGAATGTTATAAATGCATGAGCTGAGTAGCTTCCTTCTCAAGGAGCTGTACAGAGAAGAGCCAATTAAAGATATAGAAAGAAAAAATGATAAACATATTTAACTGAAAGGTGATTGTGATGTATGTAGAATAACTCACAGTAGCCAATACCCAAATATTCAAGGGCATCAGCAATAGCATAGATGGATACATTGTAGTTGAATCAGACAATGGAACGGAAAGGATTATGGACAGTTTACAACTTCATGAAACTATGTGGATGAATTGCACAAGTTTAGCTTCACCTGAAAGAGCCAAAACTAAAGTATGCATACTGTATGACTCCATTTACATAAAGTGTTTTTAAAATGAAGATAAGAACAAGAAAGGGACATTCTGCAATGCTGATAAAATTCATTTTCTCATTCTGTGTGATGGTGACACTTGAAAATTCAGCCCTCTGTTGTTGGCACGTATAACATTGCATTCACCTGTATGTACATTATACCACAATAAAATTAACATAAGAGAATATTATGAAAATAAGCAAACATATTTAAAACTAGACATAAAATTGAAAAAAATCCTACCAAATGCAACTTGTGGAAACTAAAACAAAATTAAACAAAAACATCAGAAGTGTCTTACAACTTCTAATACCATTTTATCTGTAATGCAGAAAGCATTTTACACTCAGTTACAGAATATTTAGATGTTTATGAATGAAGAAAAATGTAATGCCAATGAAATACCAAAAAGAAACCCTTGTAGGGTAGAAAAAAGGGGCTGGGGCGCCTGGGTGGGTCAGTCAGTTAAGCGGCTGCCTTCGGCTCAGGTCATGATCCCAGGTGCTGGGATCAAGCCCCAGCATCGGGCTCCCTGCTCAGCGGGAAGTCTGCTTCTCCCTCTCCCATTCCCCCTGCTTGTGTTCCCTCTCTCGCTGTGTCTCTCTCTGTCAAATAAATAAATAAAATCTTCAAAAAAAAAAAGGGGGGGGCTAATACATTATGTGTTATGTGCATTTTTATGGAAATACTAAAAAAAAGGAAATTACATGTTAATGGCAATCATAAATAGATTTGGACAATGTGTAAAAATAAAAGATTGTGACATAAATAGATTTACTGAAGCAATACCATGTTGGATTTACATTTGAAATGCCATAAACTTTATCTGTCGTATTAGCAGACTAAAGAAGATCAAGTCATGTAATTTCTCTGATGTAAAAGGCAACTGATAAAACTAATATCCATTCTTAATTTAAAAAAGTATTTAGAAAGATAGAAATAAAGAGGGAACATCTAGGGCAAAGTTCTAGAGTAAGTATGATAACTCTGAAAAAGAACTATAATGAATATACTGTTTACACAAAGGATGGTTTTTAAGTATGAAATTGACATAAAAATACATAGTGAGGTTAATGAAACAGATTAGAGAGTACAATATGTACCCACATATATATGGAGTGGAGATTTCAAGAAGGATGCAAAGTCAGTTAGTGGAGGAAGTAAAATCTTTTCAACAAATGTTATGGATGAGCACTGGGTGTTGTATGTAAGTGATGAATCACTAAATTCTATACCTGAAACTAATACTGCACTGTATGTTAACTAACTGGAATTAAAATGAAAACTTGAAAAAGAAAAAAAAATGAAATTGTTTTGGAAACAATTCAGTATCAAATAATATTAATATTTATATACCTTATAGTATATAAAGATGCTAATGCTAAAAATTGCTCATACATAAATGTAAACTATAAAATTTCAAGGATATATATAAAACACATTACCTAAAGTGGGCCAGAGATTTCTTAAAAAGAATACCAAAAGCATGATCCATAAAAGAAGAATTGATGAATCAGGACAATTTCTACTCTTTGAAGAGAAAAGGAAGATAAATCATAGACTTCAGAGAAAATATTTACAAATCATACATCTCATAAAAGACTTGCTGCCAGGATACTTAATGAATTCTCAAAATACAATAACAAAAATTAAAAATATAACCAAAATATTTCAATAGTTAACTTCATCAAAAAACATATGGATGGCAAGTAAGTACAGGAAAATATGCTCAACACTATTAGTCTTAGGAACATTCAAATTAAAAGCACTACAAATCAGACTTCCTGTTCTGGAAAGATAGAGAAGATAAACTTTTTGCTATTCTTTCTACCAAATACAGCTAAAACCCCTGGACAGTATTTACGAGACAACACAAGAAGATTCAGACAGGTGATGAGAAAGCTGACAGACTTGGCACTCCAGACCTAAGGAATGACATGGCTGTGAGTGCCTTGGAATTTCTCTTTACCTCACATATACCAGATTGGTAACAGAGAGGCTGGCAACCCCAGGCCCCAATGGGGACAGACAAAAGTCCCCAAGATGTTTTTTCTCTCCAGTGAAAATAATGAGAAAAAGTCCTGTTAGGAAACAGAAAATTTTTAGACACTAAGTGCATTATCCCTATCAAAAACCATTGACTATACAAACAGAGAAAGACATGTATCATATGATCTCACTGATATGAGGAATTCTTAATCGCAGGAAACAAACTGAGTGTTGTTGGAGTGGGGGGTGGGGTGGGAGGGATGGGGTGACTGGGTGATAGACACTGGGGAAGGTATGTGCTCTGGTAAGCGCTGTGAATTGTGCAAGACTGTTGAATCTCAGATCTGTACCTCTGAAACAAATAATGCAATATATGTTAAGAAAAAAAAGAAGAAGAAGGTAGCGGGAGGGGAAGAATGAAGTGGGGGAAATCGGAGGGATAGACGAACCATGAGAGACGATGGACTCTGAAAAGCAAACTGAGGGTTCTAGAGGGGAGGGGGGGTGGGAGGATGGTTTAGCCTGGTGGTGGGTGTTGAGGAGGGCACATTCTGCATGGAGCACTGGGTGTTATGCACAAACAATGACTCATGGAACACTTCATCTAAAACTAATGATGTAATGTATGGGGATTAACATAAGAATTAAAAAAAAAAAAAACCATTGACTATTATCCAACAAAAATATCACTCAGGAATGCAGGAGAAATCAAGACATTCTGTGATAAAGGAAAACTATGAAAATTATGAAACCCACTTTGAAAGAACTGCTAAAGGGAACTATCTAAACAGAAAGTAAAAGATAAAAGAAGGAATCTTGGATCATCAGGAAGAAAGAGAACAAAAGAAAGAATAAAACTATCATTAAGTCTAATGGAATTTGTTTCACCTCTTGTGTTGTCTAAATTGTTTGATAGTTGAAGCAAAATTATCAGTTGAAGCCAAATTTTAACATCCATGTGATTCTCAATGTAAGGAGAGAAATATTTAGGAAAATTATAAGTAGGACACAGTAAAGGAAGATAAGGCTCTATATTTTACTTAAAGTGCTGTGGTTGTGATAGACTGTAGACTGTGATATATGTGTATATGATTATCTATATAAAGATATCTAATATCTATATTATTTATATAAAGCAGATTAGAGCACATATGACATATATATATGTTTATATATATAAAGTTATTTATAAAGAAAAGATCTACTTTGGTATAAATTATACTCCATCAATTAGGTGATGATGTAAAAAAGTGTAACCTTTAATTTTATCTGAAAGCATCACAAACAGAGCATTACAAAAAATAAATTCCCAAGGGGTCATAAATTCTATTTAAGAGTTAAAAAATAAAGAAATAAAGAAAAATAGATAAATCCTAGAGAGTAACATAGGAAATTATATTCATGTACTTTGACAAACTTCTGAAAAAGTCCAAAGCAATCACCAAAATGATGAATTGGACTAGAGTAACATTAATAAATTTTCTCATTAAAAGACTCCAATTTCAGAGTAAAAATGCAAGTCACAGAGTCAAAAATCTATTTGCATCTTATAAACTCAGAAAAGAGCTCATATCCAAAATATGACAAGGACTGGAAACATTTGAAATCTTACCATGTCCTCTTTATCTACATAGAGCCGGTTAGAGTTGTTAGAAGCACAGGACGTCAAACTCTCATTCCATGATTTTCTTTCAGTGTTAATGTTAATAGCAATTGTTGGAGTATGTAAACCACTCTTTTGGACAATGGCCACAGTGATAAACTAAAGAAAGATTATGAGATATCATCCAAAAGTACCTTGAATATTAACAAATTCAAATAAATTTACATACTCACATATGTATACACATATGTGTGCATAACATATCCATGTACACTCACAGGATGGTACAAATAGAACAAAGTATGCTTACACACACTCATCAGAGAATGGTCAGCCTATCATTCCCTAATTTATGTGTTCATATAAAGCAAACACACAAGAATATCCATCTCTACATGTCCTGAGAGTCACTGAACAAAACCACTATTTTAGAATAGTAAAATAATTTATCTCTTATCATGTTATAGCAGGAGGCAATTTGAGGCAATTGGTAATAATGGATATGGGGATTTAAATGAGTATTTCTTCAGATTGTTACATTAGAAGTAGCACTCTCCTATAATCATTATTTCTGAAAGTTTATTACATGATTTTCTAATTTATTTTCCCCAGAAGAATCTATTATCATCTTTTCCTAGCCTAAGAGAGAGATAAAATAGAAACTATACTAATATCAAATTTTGAAAATTATGTACCTTTTGGGATCCTTGTTTCCAGGGACGTTTGGTTCTGCTCCAGTCCTTCAGTAACTAGAAAAATTAAAACAATCTTCATACAAACTTAATATTAAACTAAATAAATCATAATGATTTGAGTTTCTTAGTTTGAAATTTGGTGTCTTTAGAATGAAAAATTCTGTAATAAAGTTGATTTTACCAGTAAGTAATTAATGAAGTAATGAATGTGTGGGGGAAAATGTTTCAAAAGCCTAAAGAATCAAACCTCACCACTTCTTACAGTATTTGGTTTACACAATCTCAAGAATTAACTTGTGTATTTCTCAATAAGGTCTCTGCTATAACTTCTCTTTGAGTCATGAAATCTGAACATATTTGTAATACTCTCTACATTATTGTTATTTCTAATGTGACAAATTTAAAATAACCATTCCAAAGTTAGAGCAAAATGAGATAATACAATTCCATAATGTTATGCAATATTTCGAGGCACTGATCATTAAAGTGAAAAATTCCTTTGTAGTCATTCAAACACTTACTTACAGGGAATAACAGCTATTGTGACCACAGTGGACATCAAGACAAGGCAGATGATTCCCAGGATCCCAGCAATGAGCTTCCCTGGACATGAATAAATAGTAGGAAGAGAAATGAAAATGCTGAGAAAGGATGGGCAGAAATAATTCTTTAAGAAATTCACATACAAGAGAACCAAGGATGCTCAGAGAGTCACATATAAAAATTTGGAACCCAAACCCCTATCTACCATTGTAATCTTCTCTCAGAATATATCATTACATTTGGAGTAAATATATTACCCCATGAGATGGTAAAGATGAATTACAACAATGCCTGAACAGTTAGTCCTCAGATTTCAATTACAATACCGTACTTCTACTCCACTCTCTATATCATCACAAATAAAAAATATGGGAGATCATTCCCTACTCATTCCCTACACCCCCGCACCCCAACTAAACATCATAATACAGCTTATACTGTGTGTGTATTAAATGTTTTACCTTTACAGTGAGAGTTTTTGTCCTTCCCTTGAAGATCCTGAGAAGCATTTTGAAGATTTAATTCTGCATAGGTTATTTCCTGTTCAGTTACTGAAATGGAACTTTTAGTGCCCTTAGCTTTCATTTGATGTCTTTTTGAGCCCTTAACCTGATTGAGTTCTGCATAGGTAACTCCTTGGTTATTCATCTCTGCAGCTGTGTAGTATCAGACACAGTGCTGAATGGAACTGTACTGAAGGACTTGATGAATAGAATATGCAATAACAAGATTGCTAGGACAGTCACACTGGGTGGAGTGTGTGGTGAGTGATAGTATTCATTTGCTGTTGAACATGTAAAATCTGGTACTAGTTTCCTTAGAGCTTTAAAGAAGTGTTTCATGATAGAATAAGTTGTTTTAAAATAATACATTATATGTTAAAAAAAAAAAGATAGTAGGAAGGGAAAAATTAAGGGGGAAATCGGAGGGGGAGATGAACCAGAGTACGGACTCTGAGAAAAAAACTGAGTGTTCTGGGGCGGGAGGGCGATGGGTTAGCCTGGTGATGGGTATTAAAGAGGGCACATACTGAATGGAGCACGGGGTGTTATATACAAATCATGGAACACTACATCAAAAACTGATGATGTAATGTATGGTGATTAACATAACATAATAAAATAAAATTTAAAAAAATCTTTAAAACTAAAAAAATTTAAAAAAGAATAAGTTGTTTTACAATGGTATTCTATGTTTGACACAATAGTTATTGGTTGGAAAAAGGTAAAGCAATAAATTTGTGAACAAGAAAGGGATTAGTGAATAATATTGTCCTTATTAATGTGAGGTCAGATTCCACAGAAACATGTCAACACTATTAGAATAACTGGCTTAAAATTAAAATGCTGCATTAGAAAAAAATGTTGCACCTACTTTTTTGACAATTTTTAAATCCATATTGGTTAAAAATTGAGTGCTCTAAGATTGGGGTATACTAGTTTTAGCACAAGTAGGAATTTCCTGTAGTAATTGACTTTTATTTAGGACTTACACTTCTTTACTAAAAGGTAATGCATTGCTATCAAGTCAATTTTTATTTTGAATAATTGTAGAGTTCTGAGAAATCGTTAAATTTCAAAAGAAAGACTTTATATATTGAAAAATGTCACATGACACAATAAACTTATTGGAAACCTGAACAACATTGAAAACAAAGACCAAAATATATTTTTTAAAAGTACTTATATAACACCATAAATTAACAATTGATTTAATGATAAAGATATGAAATCATAAAATGATAAATAAAAGTGTAGATCATTTATGGAAGAACACTGTTGGTACAAACCACAGAAAGATCTATGAATGTCAAAGACAGTGAGGGTAGCTTTAGTTGTATAAAGAATTCCAATAAATCAAATCAAAGTAATTTCATAATTCAGTCAATGAGCTCTGCAGTCAGTGAAATCTGGAATTACTCCTGGCTCTCAAACTTACAAAGTATGACCTTTAACAAGTTACCTCCTGTCTAGCTATCTAGTTTTTACTGATCTAAAATGGGAATTAAATATGTAAAATACAATGCAGGTAAAACACTTACTACTCCATCTGGCTTTTCTAAGCTCTCAATAATATTTAAGTTATTTTAATTATTTTTAACACAATAGCCAATTTTTCATTACTGATTTATATCCTTTAGACCATGTAACATCATTCATTGACAGGAGTGTCTTTCAGTATTGAATATCTTTTTTTGTCAAGCTTTGTTTTGAACATTTATAATTAAGTTTAAATTAGGATTTTCCAGAAGGTAACTCATCTTGCTTTTTATGAAAAATCAAACTGTTTTAATTTATCAAAGCAAATGTAGACCATTTGACCCTTATGATTTGATAGATTCATGTTAAGAATCTATTTTTAAAGCCTCAGCTAAATATCAAATAATATAGGTAACTATAACTGATGACAAATCCAAATTAACTGTTCCTTCTCATGATGCTTATAGGATTTCACTTAAAATTATATTGATTTGCAAATACAATTATGCCTGTGTATATATACCTAATTACTTCTCCACAGGCAAGAATTTGGATATTTTAAGAAGTTCTCCAATATATTTCAAATTCATTTTTGTTTGTCACTCTGAATCGTTGGAATAAAGATACCAATGTTCTCTGTGATTTGATGTATATTTGTTGTGCTTCAGGGGCATCCCATCCAGCATTTGTATCTCCCACTAAATGAGGTGACTAGTAGAGAGACAGCAGAAGAGTGATACATACCTTCTGTTGGCCAGTGAGTCAGGCATCTTCCAGTGGGAGACCAGGTTACTCTTGTAAACAGACAATATCTGTGGTCCTCACAGACTGCTGACCCTGTGAGGGCTCAGAGTGAGGCAATAGTGGAAAAAGTAGATTTCTCATCGGTGTGTCACTTAAAATTTGAACAGGAAATTCTTACACTTGGCCTATTTTGAAGACCGTTATCTCATCACACACCTCCAGAATGTCCGAGACTTTCAGCTGGTAGTGTGTCATTTAGTTTGTCCCTTGGCAAGTGCCTCTGAGAAATGTTTATGTTCCACAAGGTATTGGGGTCAGAGACTTGACCACCTGGGCTGTTAACTTACTTCCATCTGAATCACAAACACTGGAGAACTTGGGCCTTGTGAGAAATGTCTTAGATGTTTAAGTTCTCCTGTTAGACAGGGTTTCTACATCCTGGCATCACATGCTTGTCTTTCTTGCACCTTTGCTATGTCATACCTATTATATTGCAAATATTTTAAAATCATCATCCCATTAACAGATATTTAATGATATTTGACACTAATTCTGAAGACTTACTACATTTTTGTCCTATTGTAACTGCCACAAAGACAACAATTTCCAAACTTATCTTCTCAATTTTTCTACCTTCATTTTTAATAGACCTGCATTTTATTTTTATTATTATTTAAATAAGTTATTTAGGTTTCTTTTGAAAAAAATGTCTGTGGAAAGGATAAAACACTGAAATTTATTGAAACATAGCACCGTCCTAGAGATTTGAATATTGTTATTATTCATATCGTTCATTGATTCATCCTCCAGTGATAACTAAGTGTCTGTATTTTAATAGAAATAATTGTTGTAAATGAAAAAAAAATAGGTCTAACTATATGATGGGAAAATGAATTCAATGCTTAAAAATTTCACTTAATTCAAAAAATTGAGGTGGGCTGAGAAGGTACTTTTAAAACACAATTAAATATCATGTGAACATCACATAATTTTTGAAGATATTTGCAAATATGTTTCTATTGCTCTGTAGTTGTTGTTTTGGTTTTGTTTTGCAAAATTGGTTGACAATATTATTTTTATTTTTATGTATTTATTTCTAATGATGTGTAGTTGACATACAATATTACATTACTTTCAGGTGTAGACACAGTGATTCAACATTTTATATACATTATATGATCATCATTATAAAACTCATTACCATCTATCACCATATAAAATTAATACAATGTTATTGTATTGTATGTTCCCTATGCTGTAATTTGCATCCCTGTGACTTATTTTATAACTGAAATCTTATACTACTTACTTCCTTTTACCTATTTTAGCCATCCCTCCATGTCCCTGCCCTATGGCAATCACAACTTTACTCTCTCTGTATATGACTCTGTTTCACTTTTTTTGTTTTTGTTTTAAATGTGCATTGGTAGTTAAAACATATGGCATTAACTTCATCTGACTAATTTCATTTAGCATAAAATCCTCTAGTTTCAATTGTGTCAAAAATGACACACATTTTTTTGTTTTTATTGCTGAGTAATATCCCACTGTTTATATATACTGCTTCTATTTATTCATTCATCTATAGATGGACTCATGGGTTGCTTCCATATCCTGACTATTATAAGTAATGCTGAAATAAACCTAGGGTGCACTCATCTCAAGTTAATGTTGTCATTTGTCTTTAGATCCCCTGAAATGGATATTCTGGATGCTATGGTATTTCCATTTTTAACTTTTTGAGGAACCTATATCCTGTTATCCATCATGACTACACCAATTTAAATTCCCACCGGCAGTGCACAATGTTCCCTTTGCTGCACATCCTCACCGGTATTTGTTATTTCTTATATTTTTAGTTCTGAGAGCGTTTTACAGCTCATTGTGGTTTTGATTTTCATTTTTGTGACAAGTGTGATGTTGAGCATCTTTTCATGTGTTGGTTGGTCATCTGTATGTCTTCTTTCAAAGAAATCTATTCAGGATCTTGGCCCATTTTTTAATCCGTTTATGTTTTTTGGTGTTGAGATGTAGGAATTCTTTATATATTTTGGATATTAACCTCTTGTCAGATATATCATTTGCAAATATCATCTTCCATTCAGTAGGCTGCCTTTTTGTTTTGTTGATGGTTTCCTTGGCTGAGCAAAAGCTTTGTAGTTTGATGTACTATTTATTTTTCATTTTGTTGCTCTTCACTAAGGAAACAGACCCAAAAGAATAAAGTTAAGGCCTATCTCCAAGAGTTTATTGCCTATGCTTCCTTTAGGAGTTTTACATTTCTGGTTTTACACCTACATCTTTAATTCATTTTAGGTTTATTTTTGTTTAGGTGTAAAAAGGAGGTCCAGTTTTATTCTTTAGCACATAGTTTCCCAGTTTTTTATTTATTTATTTATTTATTTATTTATTTATTTATTTATTTATTTATTTATTAAAAGATTTTATTTATTTATTTGACAGAGAGAGACACAGCAAGAGAGGTAACACAAGTAGGGGGAGTGGGGGAAGGCGAAGCAGGCTTCCTGTCGAGCAGGGAGCCTGATGTGGGGCTCCATCCCAGGACCCTGGGATCAAGACTGCAGTGAAGACAGATGCTTAATGACTGAGCCACCCATGCACCCAGTTTTCCAGTTTTTAAACACCACTTACTGAAGACTCTCTGTTCCCCATTGTCTATACTTGCCTTCCTTGTCATATATTAGTTGATCATATAAATAGAGGTTTGTTTCTGGGCATTATTTTCCATTCCTTTCAGCTCTGTGTCTATTGTTGTGCCATACTGCTTTGATTGCTAGAGCTTTATAGTATAGTTTGAAGTGTAAGTGCATGTTACTTCCAGTTTTATTCTTCTTTCTAATGATTGCTTTGGATATTCAGAGTTTTTCATAGTTCCTAAATTTCATATAGAATTTCTATATTGTT